GTCCGCTATCTCTCGAAAACGCATTTTGTACGAGACTTCCTTCCAAAATGCATGTTGAAGAGCTGACTGGAACTAGAGCGAACTAGAGCTAGAGCTGTTGAAACTTAGCTAGCTTCGAGATATGTGAAATCTATGATCTCTGTAGTGGTGTCACGCGTATGCGCGGGCATAGGTACGACACTAGCACAGGAACAGGTGCGGTAATGTTGGCGCATGGGACGGTACATGGTGCAGGATGTTGGCGCGTGGAAGCGTACATGGCGCGCAAATGGTACGGCGCATAGTACGCATTTGGGGTGCGTGCGCCTGGTACGGGCGCAAAACAGCTTTGGTACGTGGTACGCATTTGGGGTGCGTGCGCCTGGTACGGGCGCAAAACAGCTTTGGTACGGGTACGCGGCGGAGGGGCGTTTTTGTGTACAGTTTAGGACCGAGGACCGTTGGGGGTTTAAGTTTAAGAACAACATGATTCATCCACTGGACTGGAGCTGGCACACGCTACAAGATCCATACATGCAAACACAAGGGTGCGTTGATGGCAGTAAAGGGGATTGATGGGAGACGATGGGAGATCAAAACTAGAGACGAAGGAGATTGATTTCATATCAAGTCGGACTGTATGAGCAACGGTCACGGCCGGTAGGTTGCAATTGTTGGAGGTGGTCAAATGTTGGTAACTCCAGGTTCCATTTGTCGATAGCTTTGCTTTGTGAGAGCAGCGTAGTGTATCCAGTCTCAAATGTCAAATGCAACAGCCTGGCAGTATTGGAAAGCTGGTTGGGAAGGTATGCTGCAAGAGAGATGTTGGCATTCCTAACCTATGAAAACAAAGTTTCGCTGTATTCATTGGTAGCTTCGCAAATAACAACATGGTTGTTGCATAGATAGTCTTACTGAGGCAGCATATTGTGCGCTACAAAACTTTACAAAACATTTTTTCTTCATTCTGTAGTTGCTGACCTGATGCCTAGCCTGGCGCTTGTTCTTTCACGGTCAGTGAAGAGACATGGAACGCATTTTGCCCGTGGGGGATCACGGCCCGCTGACGAGAAGCAAAGAATGGCTCTTGTACGTGAAGGCATGGTGTTTTTTTGATTCGACTTTGACTGAGTTCGCACGTCCTCCACCATGGCGTGGAAATCAAAGCGGTCTTGTGTCAGCTAGGGCCAGGGACTTATACAAACAACTCGTGAATCGAAAGAAACAGCCTTTACTTTTTGGTTCACACACTGAGTAGGTCCGAGAAGGCTACTTTACTATGCTCTGAAACTGAGCCTGAAACAAATACATGGAAATCCGTACTAAAGTATTTATGTTAAAGTTTAAGGCCACAGGCACTGAGGAGTTGTAACTTCCAACTTGCGTGAGGCAAAACAAAGAAGCGTTTACGCAGCGACTTCACCAAGAAGTTTGTCAAAGTCAGGACATTCCGCACTGACATGAACGGACATGTGTCTACTTCGAGTCTTTTCAATCCAATGTTATTTATTTATCTTAGTTTGTCTTAGTGATGTTTGCTTTTTAGTTTCGAGTTCATGATTCATGACCATTCCTCTCAGTTGTTGATAAATCATAAGTCGGTGAAGCTGGGTTGAACTGCAGGAAGCAGATTTGCAAGTACAACAAGAACCACGTGGTACAGAAGAGAGATTTGATACAGGTCGAAGGCGACAAGCTTCTGACCCTGAAGGTTCGTGGACGAGGCTTGGACATGGAATGACATTGCTGCTGAGGTGAAAGGTTCGCTTTGCATACTGAGTGGGTGGGACAGGTCAGTATCGTTCCTGGACTTCAGCTGCTATTCTTAGAGTCTCGTGGGAGACTCACAATTCTCTGCAGCTGCCATTATTCTCAACATTTCCCTGCGATCCTGCAAACTGTTTTGTGCTGAGGCTGGGCAGGTCAGTCGCTGTCATGATGGAGGAGAGAGTTGTCAAGAAGGCCAAGGCCACCGACGAGGGACGGAGAAAACTTCCAAATCTCAAATCCAAGTCTCCAACAATGTGGAAACCCCAGTTTTGTGGAAATGTTCAACTTGTCAAGTGTCAGTGTCAAGTGTCAACTACTAAAGTATGCTTCTTTTTGTTGAAGTGTTTAAGAAACAAAACCTTGTTTGCCTAGGTTTTCCCTCAATTCCATCTCCTATTGGCTGGGCTGCCACCAAACGACTGTGTCAAAGGCAGTTCTCTGCAACTTTTAGGGCATTGCATTGTCAAATGTCATTTCCATAACTTGTACAATAGTGCTGTTGATCTGCCGTTTGAGTCAGGCTCAACGATCCGTCTGCAACATCTATTTGGCGAACCAAAAGAACACGGTGCTGAATATGTTAAACTGCCGAGAGGAGAGTCGTGAAGTTGTCAGTTCAGATTCTTTTACTCAGCTTCAAAAGCGACACACAAGCCTTGCAGTTTGCTTAGCATCGTCTTGCAAAAGTGCAAAAGCATAGTTTGCGTCAGGCTCCTGTGATGGGCCTTCATATCGAATTCGATGAAACCGCGCAAAAGATGAGGGTCCGATCGGATTTGTGTTCCACCACAACCAACATGGCAGTTTTGGCCTGGGCCTTGGCCATGGTTGTGGCAGCTTTAGCTGTCATTGTGAGTCCCGCTGTCGGATGTCAAGGCATCCCG